CATAACCACCATTCAAGAACTGGCTCCACTCTACAACACCCTCTCACCTTAGCTCCTAGTAACTTGCAGAAAATTGACTGAAAAAGTGACGATTTTTGGATATTAACGAAATGCAAAACTTTGGGAGGAAAAGTGGTATTTTGAAACTTTTTGTGTGGGAAAGGTTATCAAGCCAAACCTTGGGTGGAAGAAATCGTTTACTCTTAAATAATTTGGGGTCAATTCACCAACCCCTTTCACAATTATATAAATTAACTTGTGATTTTTTATTATTATATGCACTAAACACATCAAATTCTTAGAATTCGTACGTTTGTTCAAATTTAGGTGATCACTAACTAACTACTCCTCCAATATATATATATTAATCTTTTGTAATATATCTATTCTTGACCTATTCATTTCAAATAGCAATAATATTATAAATGAAATGATAAACTTGCAATATTCAACGACAGAATAAACTTATTGAAAATTATATTATAATATTCCATGTTTCAATTTATTGAACCTAACTGGGTTTCACGTTCAGCTTTGAAACTACCTGGATTGTAACAATACAATTTTATAAAAAAAAAAAAAAAAAAAAAAAAAAAAAAAAAACATCTTCTTTCAAAAAGATAATGCTTCAAAATTATGATAGGGTGACTACTTGTTTGTTAATTCTCCACTATGCCATCATGTTGTTGACTTGGTATGCCTAATGACATTCAAGTCCAAATGTTCATCCGGGACATGATCATCTTGGAATTTTCTACTCAAATTTCTGTTTTAGTGAAAGAAATTCTGTTGAAATTGGGTTGAGACCTGTAGAAAAGCACTTCCAAGTTCAAATTTTGCAGTGAAAAGCAATTTTCTTGTAATAGGTGTCTAGTTTATGACTTCATTTATGGCTCATATCATGGTAATTCCCAATCCCAGTTGTGTCAAACTGATATGATGAATCAAGAATTTGAGTAGATCCTGAGAGAAAAATGGAGATGCAGAAAAAAATATGAGAGTGAAGGAAAATACTCTATCATTTCTAAAAGTTACTGTTGCATGGTATAGCTAAAGACAACATAATAACAAAAGAAAACATGTGATTGTTTCGCAATATCTGCAATAGTCTGTCTGTCGCCCATCTGATAAGCGAAATAGGAATGAATCTTGCAACTTAAGAAACAAGTAAATCTTGTTTTCAAGAAAACATTATATATAGATAATATTAGTCTCCAACGAAATTCAAAAAAATGAGCATAAGCATAAGAGAAGATTATGTCCACATGGCAATTTCCTTCAATCCTTATTAGAATTAGGAAACCTCTATGTCGTGCGACCTCTTGTCATTTAAAATGTTGAAGTTTACATACAACTCACAATTCTAACAACCCCTTCTCAATTGTTAAAAACTAGATATATTTAGTAGAATTAAAGAACATTTAGGGAATAAAATATGTGTAATCTTACCTGAATGTGACAGCATCTTTTGATTATGAGCATATTGTGACAGAGAAGAAGAAATTCCAATAGATAATATTAATAACACCAATAATGATTGACATTCAAACTGCAATTTAAACATAAACAATTGAAAATTTCAAACATAAGAAAAGAATTGATTACTCTATCTGCAGAAGCTTCCACAATGGTCAAATTTCTTCACTTTGATCTTTGAAATTAAGATAATTTATGTGCAAAGAGAAGTTCAATATTTCTAGTTTTATATGTGTGTCTTTGTATATATAGATAAATGTAAAGACTGCCTCAACCTCCTCTGCAGAGCCTCTCTTTCTGTCTTGGCGAAAGAAAAAATGTCTTCTTTCAGAGTCATGGCTTTTCTAGCTGTTCTCGTAGTGTTGCTACCTATGACTGCTCGGGGCGGGGGTGGGGGCCCTGGGGGCATGGGGACGGCTGGGGTTTTGATTATTGTCTCCAGCTTATTCCATTCTCTGGTACAACATCTGCCTCTCTCTCTCTCTCTCTGTATGATATACAATTATATACATGGGTTTACATGTACAGATACTTGTTGCTTTTGTGAATTACAGAGAATCCTGTGACATGGTGGAATGTGGAAAGGGAACATGCAAATCAAATGCCTTCCGTACAACTATGTCTGTGAATGTGACTGGTTGGAAGAGAGCTGAGGATGATGATGACATATACGATTTTGATTTTAAAAGATCTCGTCACTTTTTCCTCCCCTGCAATTCCAAACTGTAAGCTCTTTCTTGTACTTAATGTCTTTAAACGTACGGGAAGTGATTTTGCCATGTTATCTTTCTGATATTATATGACACGGAATATTTTCGTGATTAAAAAAACGTGCTGAGTTTGATCCAATAATGCAAGAACACCTTAGACGTATTCAAAATGGAGAAATTCATACTCATTATCTTGGTCATAATATACAAAATGAGTTGATAAATATTTTAGCATTAGAAATAAGAAATACCATTATTAAAAAAAATCAAAGAATCAAAATATTTTTCAGTTATACTTGATTGTACCCCAAATACAAGTCATCAAGAACAAATGTCACTTATATTAAAATGTGTAGATATTTCAATAAGTCCAATAAAAATAGAAGAGTACTTTATAGATTTTATAAAAGTGGATGATATTTCTGGTCAAGGTCTTTTTAATATTCTCAAAAGTACATTAAAAAATCTTGAACTTGATGTAAATAATGTGAGAGGACAAGGATATGATAATGGGTCTAATATGAAAGGTAAAAATAAAGGTGTGCAAAAAAAGATTATTAGATATATATAAATTCTGGAGCATTTTATACACCATGTGGTTGTCACAATCTTAATTTAGTTCTTTGTAATATGGCTATTCATGTACTAATGCTATTACATTTTTTGGAGTGACACAATGTATATACTCATTATTTTCTTCTTCTACAAAACGATGGAAAATTTTGCAAGACCATGTTTCTAATTTGACACTTAAGTCATTATCACAAACACGTTGGGAAAGTCGTGTTGAAAGTGTTAAAGCAATAAAATTTCAAGCTCCACAAATAAGAGATGCTTGATATCAATTAGTAGAAACTAGTGAAGATCTTAAAACAAAAAATGAAGCTATTTCTTTAGTAACATATGAGATTGAAAATTTTGAACGTCTATTAGGCATGAATATTTGGTATGAATTGTTATTTGCTATTAATACGGTTAGTAAATATTTACAATCTAAAAATATGGACATTATTGTTGCAACAGATCAGTTGAAATGTCTTGTTTCATTTTTTGAAAAATATAGAGAAAATGGGTTTACATCTTCTATGATTTCTACTAAAGAGATTGCAAAGCAAATGAATATAGAACTAAAATTTCATGAAAAACGTATAATAAAGAGAAAAAAACAATTTGATGAGAATAAAAACGTAGAGATGAAATTGTCTGCTGATGAATCTTTTAGAATAAATTATTTCACATATTTAGTTGATTATGCCATTTCCTCACTTCAAAGTGGGTTTGAACAATTTAAAATATATAGTAATAACTTTGGTTTCATTTATAATATAGAAAAGTTAAAATTGCTTGATGATGGTAGTTTGCAGAAACATTGTTTAAATCTTGAAAACTTTTTAAAACATGTCATGCTCTCTGATATTAATGGTTTAGATTTATATTCAGAATTAAAAGTTTTAAAAGAAATTATAAACGTGGAAATTAAAACACCGCTTGAGATACTAGATTTTATAAAAAAGGTGAATTCTTTTCCAAATGCATGGATAACTTATAGAATACTATTAACTATTCCTGTTACTGTAGCTTCAGCAGAAAGAAGTTTTTCAAAATTAAAGTTAATAAAATCTTATTTGCGTTCAACTATGTCACAAGAAAGATTAAGTAATTTGTCTATATTATCAATTGAAAAAGATTTGGTTTCTAAACTTGAATATAAAAATTTAATTAGTGATTTTGCATTTCAAAAGGCAAGAAAAATAAATTTGAAATAATTTTTTAATATATGCTTATATTATTAGAAGGCCACTAAAGTAACTCTTGCCTAAGGTCACAAATATTATTGAGACGGCCCTTCAAATATGTCAGATGTAGTGAAACAAACCCTCTACGTATTAAATTGATGGGTGAACACCAATACTTGCATGATCACTTCCTCATTGCAAGAAAACTATAATATTCAGCCTTTGCATACGTGAGAGTTTCTAGTAGGAGAACCATGGTATCAGGTGCTGATAGATAGCAAGGCAACTATGGGCTCTTATGCTTTAGAAGAACTCCACCATAAGGAAGAAAAAGACTGTACTAGAGTTCATAGCATGACCGAGAAGCCCAAGGAAATTGCACTTTTGGAGACTTCATGAACCTATAGATAGGCGCAAATCAGTTTAATGAGACCCGAAAGGATGAAGATTTGGTAAACTAGAAAAGACCAATACGTTCACGCTAATGTATATAAAAAAAAAAAAAGCGAAAGTGATACATGGTTGTTCAAGATTTTGGCGACACTCTTGATGATTCTATTATTTTAACTTATTTGACCTTAATGGTGAATTCTTATTAGATTGCTTATCTTTTGTTTTATCCTTTTATCGAATTAAATTCATTTTGAAGTTGGAAGCTCTATAAAAGAGAGATTTATGTACATTATAAGGTAGAGAAAAATTACTAATATTTCTGGTTTTAACAAAGTTTATTCTCTTGAAATCTTCACTGTTTATTTCTAATATATTTAACTGCATACTCAAGAGAACTTTTAAGAAGAATTATTCAAATAATTAAAAGATTAAGAGAAAACTTATTCAGATATTAACTTTTTCTTTAAAATTAGAATATGTTTTCCCTCTCAAATTAATAACTGGAGTTATTAATTTTCATAATAATATCATGGTTATTATGAGGGTTAAGTAAATGGCATCAGCATGTATATCACTTGGATATTTAATTTCAATCTAAATTAATTAATCAATTAATTAATTAATAATTCTAGATTATAAACCAAAACCGTGACGCAATCAACTCCGAAAATTCCTTCCAGCCCACCTTTGTTTCACCTTAAACCCTACGGCCTACACCTTTCTACTAAACCAAAACTAAGCATTCTCTTAAACCCTACAACTTCCTGCGCAAGACAAGATCAACTCCTCTTCAATGGCAGATTCAGCTAACGAAGAACAAAAGCACCGTCAATACCACCCCTACCAGCAATTCCAAATACCCATCGAAAACCTCTACAATCTCCCAACTTCCCCCGAATACCTCTTCCCCGAAGAGTCCCTAAATGCTCGCCGATCCTGGGGCGAGAATCTCCAATACTACACCGGTTGCGGCTACTTATCCGGCGCCCTTGTGGGCGCCATCAAAGGCTCCGTTCACGGCTTGCGCCAATCCGAGCCCTCTGACTCGCTCAAGCTCCGGGTCAATCGTGTTCTTAACTCGGGCGGGCAAGTGGGTCGGCGGTTCGGGAACTCGCTGGGTGTTCTTGGGTTGATTTTCGCTGGATTGGAAAGTGGGTTGGTGAGTTTGAGAGATAAAGATGATTTGTTGAACACTGTTGTGGCTGGGCTTGGTACTGGGGCCATTTATCGGGCTGCGGGTGGGGTCCGTTCAGCGGCGATCGCGGGGGCCATTGGTGGCGTCACGGCGGCGGCTGCAGTGGCTGGGAAGCAGGCTGTTAAGAGATATGTGCCCATATAAACAGAATCGGTCATTCGGGGGTTTTAGGAGAGTTTAGGTTTGATGGGTGATTTTGTAATGAAATTTGTCGACTTGGTTTTTAATCGAAAAATCTTGTATCTGTAATTTTGATTTCAATGAATTGCTAAATTATTAACCAGATAGTGGCTATGTTAATTATTTATATGTTGTTTGTAAAACTTGCTTGATTACAATGTTGATTGTTTTATTTTAATTATCCCTGACATTGATTGGAATTTATATAGCAGATTGTGCAGAAGTTTACAGGCTTATTATTTTTATGCAGACTTGACTTGATTTTCTTTCTCCCACTTAAATTTGTGCGCTATGAATTTGATTGAGAAGTTGAGGACAATGGCTCTTTGAGTTGGACTAAAATAAGAATGATTGGCAGTCAGGGAGCTTTTAGCAGAACCAGCAGCTGCAGTAATGGTGACTTCCTTAGGTAACTTAATCAAAGCTTATCAAGTAGTATTACTAAATACTTAAATTAAAGCATTGTTTTTACTGATGTTGTTAAGTTTAAGAATCTGGTATTTTCTTCGGATTAATTTTTTGTGTGTTATGGTGTGGCTCATAATTAAATATAAGGTAAACCAAATTCTACTACGTTGATGTTACATAATTGTCAGATAATCTTTGTTGATGAATGAGAAGAATAGTTGTTTCTTAAAAATAGATTTCTATTTATTGATTCGATTAGTGTATTAACTGATGTAATTAATAGAACTGATAGTTTGAGAGAGGATTAATGAGTAAATTATGTAACTCTCATTAACATTTATTTGACATTAATTTTTTGTAACTTATGTTTCACTGTGTCCTTGATGAATATATAAATTTCCCCAGAAAACTACCAAGTGCAGCCCCAAGCTGAAGATGAAGATGATCAATGGTTGTGTCCTTATTTCGGGAAGAAAGTAAAGCCCCAATCTCCAAAGCTACAAGAAAGCTGAGGATTAATTAAGAGATGAATTGCAGAAAAAATAGTTGCATGGTGCTAGTTGGTTGCATTGTTGCAGTAGTTATTGTGAGTATCGAGTTGATTTATGAGAGAGAAGCTCGTCAAGAAAGCCACAATACATGTTACGATTATTGTCGAAGAGAGCTCATGGAAAGTGCTTTTACTTGCACAATCTTCTGTTTTTATAAATGTGCACCTACACTCGGTGGTAACTGCATTTGGTAATTGAAACTAGTTTTCCTTTTTGCTTTTACCATTCTTTTTTCTCGATATGTATAAATACATAGTATTTGAGATGGAACTTAGTCTTACGTTTTAGGTATATATCCACGTGTTGTTTCTTTATAAATATACAAGAAGTGTGAAAACAATGAATAGTTCTGCCAATTCTTTTTAGAGTAATGTACAGAAGATAATTACAATGGTTGACTTGATTCTAATTAGATTAAGTTAAGGTTGCATGTTACTGCCAGGAAATATTCAGGAGAAGGCCAAGCCATGCATATATCATATATACTCAACCACTCTATCCTATTTTATCTTTGTCATCTATAAATATGCACTGTTAGATAAGGTTCTTTTAATTTTGAGTTTTTGCTTTTGCTTTCTGATTTATTAGTATAAAGATGCTACATACATATTGCAAGTTTATAAGCCCATTTAATAGTAATTTGTATCTCGTTCATCAATTTACGGTCTTTTAGTTGCTTATGTATTAATGAGAACTAGCACAAACCTTTTTTTTGTTTTTTATATGATTGAGAGTGTCTAGACCAGCTTATGCGTATTTCAACTAATCCTTCGGGATCTTGGAACTATCGGTTAGGTAAGAGCTCCAGTGGTTACCCCTATTAGTAATGGAAGAGAGACTCGAACTCATGACCTCTTGAATAATATACCTAAGAGTCTTTATCGAACTACTTAATCATTTGCCCTCCTGAGGTTAAGGTCATCTAGCCCTGTTGTTTCATATACTAGGATACACCCCCCTAAACCAAACTTCTGTTAGTGAGCAATAAACGGTTGAGGGGCAAAAGAGAGTTCCTTAACATTCATCGATCCAGCAGCATCGTCACTCTCTAACCACACCAAAACACCCAGCATGGAAATTGAAAATACCTCGTTGCAAATCTACTACTCTCTATGTTTACATGCAACTCAATTCATGTTCATGCCACCACTCTTACCCATTCATTTCCCTAACTCGTTGAAACTCTTATTGTATTTGATTGTTTTGACTTTTTCTTATGGTAAAATCATTTGCTTGGCTTCTACGAAAAGAGAGAAAAGAGAAAGAGAACTTATTTCCTATACAACTTTCGAGGGTAATGTCTTTTTATTACAACCTAACGCTTCTCACTAAAGTCCATCAATTTGAGGGGGAGATTTACTAGTATTTGAAATGGCAAGACCTTAAGGTAACCAACCAAAAGTTCAGGGGTGATGATGTCTTTCTCTAAACTATAGGACCTTTCCACCAACTCCTAATGGATGAACACCACTCTATTCAGGTAGACTTCCGAAGGGTTATTTTAAATTTTTAATAACTTCAAAGTCTAATCTGATCCAAAAATATAACAAATCGCAAGGAGAACTACTCTCAAGACCATTACTTTAGAAAGTAAAATATAAATTAGAATAATATAATTAATTGAACACATGTAGTTTATGTTAATTTAAAATATGAGTAAACAACTTTTTCCATCAAAAAGTTTAAAATACCACTTTCTCACCCAAGTGTAATATTTTGTTACTATTGAAAGCCGATTTCGGCCGATCGGGCGGGCGAAAAATTCTCTCGTCCCCACCATTTGAATCTTAGTCTCATATTTACAAAACCCCTCCCACTCCGACACCTGATCTCGTTTATTGGTCACCCAAAGCTAGATTTTTCTTTCTTAGCTGATTTTTTACTGATTCAACAGCGAATATTCAATCGGTAACCACTATTCAATCTACTAGCCTACAAAAACCCCTCTCACTTAGCTCCTGGTAACTTGCCGAACACGATTGAAAAAGTGAAATATATTTGGATATTACGAATGTAAACTTTGAGAGAAAAGTGGTATTTGAAACTTTTGGGTGGGAAATTTATTGAGCCAAACCTTGGGTGGGAAGAAATCGTTTAATCTTAAAATAATTTGGCGTCTAATTCACCAACCCTTTCACAATTATATAAAATTAACTGTGATTTTTTAATTATTATATGCACTAAACACATCAAATTTTAGAATTCATACATTTGCTAAATTTTAGGTATGTCACTAACTAACTACTCATATTATTTAATCTTTTGTAATATATCTATTTCTTGACCTATTCATTCACAGAGCAATAATATATAAAATGAAATGATAAACTTGCAATATTCAACGACAGAATAAATTATTGAAAATTACTATATAATATTGCATGTTTCAATTTCAGATATGATAACTACTGGATTGTACGCAACTACATATAAAAAAAAAAAAAAAAAAAAAACCACTCTTCTTTTCAAAAATAATGCTTAAAATTATTGATAGGGTGACTAGTGTTTGTTAATTCTCCACTATGCCATCATGTGTTGACTTGGTATGCCTAATGACATTCAAGTCCAAATGTTCATCCGGGACATTATATCTGGGATTTTTACTCAAATTTCTGTTTAGTGTGAAAGAAATTCTGTTGAAATGTGGTTGAGACCTGTAGAAAAGACTTCCAAGTTCAAATTTTGCAGTACAAAGCAATTCTTGTATAGTTGTCTAGTTTATGACTTCATTTATGGCTCATATCATTGTAATTCCCAATCCCAGTTTGTGTCAAAACTGATATGATGAATCAAGAATTTGAGTAGATCCTGAGAGAAAAATGGAATGCAGAAAAAATATGAGGTTGTTTACTCATACAAAAGATAGTTCTTGATGAAGGAATACTCATCTATTCTAAAAGGTACTGTTGCATGGTATAGCTAAAGACAAACATAATAAACAAAGAAAACATTGTGATTGTTTCGCAACATCTGCAAATTCGTCTGTCGTCGCCATCTGATAATGCGAAATAGGAATGAATCTTGCAACTTAAGAAACAAGTAATCTTGTTTTTCAAGAAAACATTATAATAGATATAATAGTCTCCACAACGAAATTCAAAAACTTGAGCATAAGCATAAGAGAAGATATTGCTCCACATGGCATTTACCTTCAGTCCTTATTAGAATTAGGAAACTCTATGTCGTGCCGACCTCTTGTCATTTTAAATATGTTGAAGTTTACATACAACTCACAATTCTAACAACCCTTCTCAACTTGTAAAAAACTAGATATATTTAGTAGATTAAAGAACATTTAAGGGAATAAATATGTATGTGTAATCTACCTGAATGTGACAGCATTTTTGATCGAAGCATATTGTGACAGAGAAGAAATTCCAATATGATAATATTAAGAACACCAATAATTGATTGACATATTCAAACTGCAATATTTAAACAATAAACAATGGAAAATTTCAAACATAAGAAAAGAATTGATTACTGAATTCTGCAGAAGCTTCCAAATGTCAAATTTCTCACTTTGATCTTTGAAATTAAGATAATTTATGTGCAAAGAGAAGTTCAATTTTAGTTTTATATGTGTGTCTTTGAATATGTAATAATATAAAGACTTGCCTCAGCCTCTCTGCAGAGTCTCTCTTCCTGTCTTGGCGAAAGGAAAAATGTCTTCTTTAGAGTCAGGCTTTTCTAGCTGTCTCGTAGTGTTGCTACCTATGACTGCTCTCGGGGGCGGGGGGGTGGGGGCCATGGGGACGGCTGGGGTTTTCATTATTTGTCTCCAGCTTATCCTCCATTCTCTGGTACAACATCTGCTCTCTCTCTTCTCTCTCTCTCTCTCTGCATGATTATCAATTAATCCAGGGTTTACATGTACAGATACTTGTTGCTTTTGTGAATTACAGAGAATCCCTGTGACATGGTGGAATGTGGAAAGGGAACATGCAAATCAAATGCCACTTTTCCGTACAACTATGTCTGTGAATGTGAACCTGGTTGGAAGAGAGCTGAGGATGATGATGACATATACGATTTTGATTTTAAAAGATCTCGTCACTTTTTCCTCCCCTGCATAATTCCAAACTGTAAGCTCTTTCTTGTACTTAATGTCTTTAAACTGTACGGGAAGTGATTTTGCCATGTTATCTTTCTGATATTATATGCACGGAATATTTTCTGAATTAACAAACAATCCTTTACAAAGCTGTAAACAAAACAATATTTCATATTTAAATTAAGAGTGCTCAGTACCTTATGTGCAGCTAGATGAAGACTGGAGTGACATCAGAGACTAAATTTGCAATTTTTCAAGAAGTAATATCGACTTTTTCTTTGGTTCTTTTCAGGTACTCTTAACTATGGTACCTGCCAGCCAGCTCCACCACCAGTTCCTGAGAAAACATTTCCTACCAATTTTTCTACCTTTGACCGTAAACCACATACGAACATCTCTTCTCATTATCATCCCCTCAATCTTTTATGTTTCTTTATCTTGTGTTCCCAGTCATCACTTCATTTTTTCTTTCACGTTGTACCTGTTTGTAGCTTGCAATTGGGTCTACTGTGGAGAAGGCACATGCAAAAAGACGACCACTTACAAACACACATGTGAATGCAATCCTGGGTTCTCTAATCTTCTCAACATATCTTATTATCCATGCTACAGCAACTGTAAGAACATAAACATGATGTTTTACTAACAAATACATAACAATTTAACAATCTGAAAAACTAATTTGAGAAACAATTTCGAATTCTTAGGTACACTGGGATCTGATTGTTCGGCTCTCGGGATTACAGCTTCAAATGATCAAACAAGTGCAAATCACGGTGAGATGGACTGCAAATCGGACATTAAACTTCTTTTTCTTCCCCTGAAAAATTATGAAACATTATCCAAAGCCAAGGTATATCCAATGATCAAATTCTGATCCTTTTTCCTTCTCTTGCTTTCAGGTACCTCACTTCTACCGGGAAAGTTCCATTTGATGACCATATTGATGATGTTCATTGCTATGGCTCTGTGGAAGTAGGATACAATCTGATGGGTCAGATCTAGGCTACCAGACTCTAGTCTCTTCGTGGAGACTTTACCATACTAGGATATATTCATTTGGTGCATCGTTCTTTTAATTCTTCATGCGTATTCTTGTTTATAAATTCAGTTTGAATAAATAAGTCAGGTACTGGCCTAGATGGAGAACGATTGTTGTATACAGAACACTATAGAATTAGAGTTTTAAGTATATATGATTGTTTTGTTTATGTATCATATCATTAATGATTGTTTTGTTTATGTATCATATCTGAGCTTGAATTATGCTTTATATATCTTACTCTTGTCATCCTTTTTTGTTTGGAAATCAAATGAACTGTCTGGGGAGAAGATAACAAGATTGAGATAACTTCAAATGAAACAATCAGTTTAAACAAAACTTCTTCATATATATAAACCATATGTCTTCTGAGGCAATTGACTGTAATGAGCTAATGACCCCAAGATAAAGTAGTGACCTATTTTAGAGGAGAAATTTTAAGAGGTAATATTAATGTCAAAGAGAGATATCAAGTAGAAATTATCAGCCATTCACTTGTTATATCTACTTTCACTTTCTGGCCTAATAGAAGACTTCCTGTAATGGGTTCATTTAAGCCCTCATAAACAATCAAAATCTTGTGCTATAAACAGAAAAGAGGAAGGTAAAATCATGAACATATAACAGACTTCAATGTCCCATACCTGATTGTGATCAAAATCAAATAATTAAATTACAAGTTTCATTCCTGCTGAGCATTCAAAGACACAACTTTAAGGAGCCTATTTTTGGCATTCAACATTTGATAAAGAAAAAATCTCAGATCTCTTTGTCAATCAGATTACATGTTCTTGCAATAAACTAGACAATCTCATCCTCCTTGTTACAGCTTCATTTTCAACCAAAATTTTCTCACTGAGATGCTGTCTATAGACTTTAGCCAATAATGAACCAACTCATGCATTGTTCCACATCTTATCAATGATTGAAGGATCTAAGAGGCTCCCCAATATAACCATATTTAGTTTCCCCCTAAAATTTTATTTCCGCATTCATCATCCACTACACATAACTATGCTTACCCCAATCTTTATTATCATGTAATGCACACCCAATCCCATTTTGTTACCAATACCACAACATAAAGTAAAAATACCTACTTCAATATTCAACATTGCATGATCTTGGAAAGAAATTTAACAACATAAAAAGTATATGCTCAATTGTTGCAATTTATCACAACTGTTCAACAGAATGAATATTATTTCCTCATTACACATATAGTTAAGAAAAATGAATTTATGAAACGACTTCATCACTTATTCATAGAAGTAATATCCAAACTAGGAGGCCATAAAACAATCTGTCTTCAATTATTGCACATATATATCCCAATTTGAGTTCAAGATACAAAATTTCTAACACCCCCAGCTTCCCAATCTAACAATTAGAGAACCAAAAAGAAAAAAAAAAAAGTCCCAAACTCATCATAATAATACTGAACAAAAAGAAGAAGAGACAAAATCAAGCATAAAGACCAGATTTTGAAGTCCTCACCATCACCATCACCATCACTTGCTCTTCACTTCAACTCCATTCTTCCCAGCAATAATCACAGCAGTTGCCATATTCAAAAACAACCCATGTTCCACAACTCCTTCAAGCTTCCCAATCTCCTCCCCAGCAGCAACCCCATCTCTGATAGGCGTCTCAAAATACAAATCAACAATGTAGTTAAAATTATCAGTCACATAAGGCTTCCCTTCTGGAGTCAATCTCAACTTCGCTTCAGCACCCACTTCTTTAAACATCTCCTGAAGCCTAACCAAATTATATTTCCAACAAAACTGAACCACTTCAACTGGCATTGCCAGTTTACTCCCGCCAAGTCCACTAACTAACTTTGTTTCATCAGCAACAACAACAAAACTCTTCGAAGCAGCTTCCACCATTTTCTCACGCAAAAGGGCCCCACCGCGACCCTTTACGAGGTTAAGATCAGGGTCAACCTCGTCAGCTCCGTCAATGGCCAAGTCAAGAACGGGGTGTTCATCAAGTGTAGTGAGAGGGATGTTGAGCGATCTCGCTTGCTCTTCGGTGCGTTTAGAGGTTGGGATTCCAATGATGTCAGTTAATTGGCCGGTTTTGAGGAGGAGGCCGAGCTTGTCGACGACGAAAGCGGCAGTGGAGCCGGTACCGAGGCCGAGAACCATGCCGGATTTGACATAGTCGACAGCTTTATCAGCAGCGAGCTTCTTTAAGTCATCCTGGGTGAGAGCGGGGACAGCTTGGGCTCTGATGGAGAGGGAGGTGGGGAAGCGTAGTTTAAGTGGTTTAGGGGGGCGAAGGATAAGGTTGGGAGAAGTAGTGTGGAGAGAGGAGAGAAGGGATAAGGAGGCCATAGTGGTGGTTGTTGTTGCGGTGGAGAGAAATGAGTGTTTTGGGTGGGAGTTTGATGGATGGGTGGGTGATTTTTGTTAGATGAGAATTGGAAGGTGGGAATGGGATTTGTTTTGTCTTGTCTGTCTCTATGGTTTTCTGTTAGTTTGTTGGTCCTGGCCTTTTCCAAACTGGAAAAGGTGACTTTAGGTTGGTGGGATTGTGTAAAGATTACTAGTTTTTTTGTTTATGGCCGCTGTTCTTTGACCTCAAAACAAGAGTCAAATTACCCTGAATAATACTACATCAATAAACCACTTTCACCAACTTTTTCTCACAATCTAACGTAACAGATCATAATTAGTTAGTTCATAACGGGTCTTACATGGGTCTTGCATAGGTCCTACTAATTAATTGTCAACTGCCACGTCAGGTTGTGAGAGAAAGTTTGTAAGAAATGATCGTTGGTGTAATATTACTCAATTATATTACTATTCCGAGGTTTGGTGTCAAACCTGTTTCTCCTCCAACTTTAAGAAATTTAATTAACTCTCATACCCTAAATACAAGTTTTATCAATTACAAGGGATAGTATAAGGGTAAAACAAAGATAAAGATTGAGTCAGAATCTAATCTTACAAACTCTCTCACAATCTTGATGTGACATTTGCAATTGGTGAGCTCACAATTCGATAGGTAGAACCCATTTACGAGTTAACCTATTATGAGCTACCATATCGAGGTTATAAGAGAAAGTTTATAAGATTAGATTATAAATATAGTATTATTCGTAAAACAAAGACATTTTCAATAAATCGCCACTAGGTGATTGAGCAGTCAACTTGGACTCTTAGGTGTATTACTTAATAAGACTTGAGTTCGATCCACCTAAGCTCCTAATAAAGATGATCATTAGAGACTTATCTGGTTGTTAACTTTAAAATCTTGAGAGAATAGTCTCAATCATCAAAAAAGTAATGACCGAAAATGTTAGCAAAATATATTCAAAATATATTTTTTAACCTTTGTTTTAAAAGGATAATTAGACTTATAATAGATCTAGTATAATTGTGACACCTTTTTTATGTATATCCATCCTATATATAAAAACAAGAATTAGATTTGAAATACTTGAGTTAATATTAACAATATGATATGGGCATTATTCTACTACTAAATTTAAGCTAAGATTTATATAATGAAGATGGTCATGTGATGCTTCAATAGACCTAAATTGAAAATTTTAACCCTAGAGATTGAGAGGAAAGTTGTTTGGTGGGGTATTCCACACCTATGATTCAACCTTAAACCCATTGTTATGCTTGCTGGCCCACGTTGGATCATCTCCCTGGTCTCACTTCGAAAATACTCAAATGGCCCAAATCCAACCAAAACGATGCGTTTTAGAGGAAATCTAAAACGGTGTCGTAGAAGTCAATTCAATTTCTTGTCAACCTAGAAAGCATCTAAAAAATCCTTGTCCTAATCCATCTTAAAAACATTTCTCTATTTCATTCCACTTTTCCCTCGACTCTACTTTTCCTCTTTCACGAATAACTCGTAAGCCATGTCTGGTGAATCAGCCAACGCAATTCTAAGAGGCCAAGTAAGTAATGTTATAAGTTTTAATTTTTTTTTTTCCTATGAAATTAATGCTAAAACTTGGAATCTGGCAACTGGGGTTTTCGGGTTTTGAGCCATAGTGGCAAGATTCTTCTTTTCTTATCGTACAGGTTTTTTTTTGCTTAGTGATAAGCAGGATGCGCTGAAATTGTTAGAATGATGTCGGGTTTTTGGCAAGATATGATTTTGTTTGGCTGCCGAGAAAATTTTATGTGAAACTTGGTATCTGGCTTCTGGGTTTTTTGAGTTTCGAGTGATGGATTAAAGACTTGTAATTTTCTAATCCTATAATATTTGGGTTGTTAAGAGAAAGGGTCTATTAAGATTGTTACGTTGGTTTGCATGATCAGGTTGATCTATTGGACTTCATAGATTGGTCCGGAGTTGAATGCCTTAACCAAAATACTGCTCATTCTCTGCCCAATGCTCTTAAACAGGTAATTACATTCAAAGTTATTTTATTTTCTTTCTTGATTATAAATTGGGGTAGTTATTTAATTTTTACTACTGTAGCATATAAAAAGAATACTACTGGATAATACATGAACAAAAATTTATTCTTTTATGTTGAAATATCTTGATTGCCAATTCAGCTTGAAATTTCACGATTCGTGGTCATGATGACAATAAGGAACTAAAAACCTGAATATATTAGTTTCTTTTATATATTTGTGAGGATATGGGAAGTTTAGTTCACCATATTGTAGCATATATATATATATATATTGTTGGGTTTTATGTAGTATTAGTTCAATATCTACTAACCTGTGTCTTGCGGTGTGGAATCTTGCCATAGAAGTGAAATTGCTTGGAAGTAGAGGTTGTCTTCTTTAGAATAGTTAGAAATTGGCATATCCAGTTTTACTTGATTCCAATTTTTAATATTTATTTTCATTCCATCACACTCATTTATGTAAGCTATTTTTTTCTTGTTTCATGTCTTTCTAGCAAGATTGGAGGTATTCTATATTACTTGGTCGACTTCTTCATGATAGTTTGAGGGTTGTAAAGCTATGATTAATTTAGTTTCTTGTGAAGTAGGGTTACAGGGAAGATGATGGATTGAATCTGGAAAGTGATGCAGATGAGCAACTTCTGATTTATATTCCTTTCAATCAAGTCGTTAAACTTCATTCTTTTGTCATCAAAGGACCTGAAGAAGAAGGTGCTTATCAATTCTTCAAATATGTTTGTTTTATGTGCATGCATGGATTATCTTTGTGACTTTCAAAACAGTATAGTACACAACAGAATCTTATCTTTTTCTCACTTGTCCAATCTGGTTGAGAGAAAAAAAAAATTACAAGCATACAACAGTATGGAATGTTAAAAGCCATCAAACTTAGATCATCATTGTCAATGCTCTTTTCTTATGATGAGGAACCAAGATCGTGTGAAAGAGTAAAAGGCTAGATATGTAATATGCTTCATCTCCATTCTTGTTATACATACATTATATTTATAGGATAGAAAACTTAATTTGTTCTTTCTGAGGGTAGCATACAAGCAGAGTGTAGTGTAATTGGTGGACATGTGACATAAATATTGCAATCCAATGTCTTGACCTTTGCAGCTGTCTCAACTTTTTAAAGTTAATTTTAAGGATTAGGGTCCTTTAGATTTGTTCATTAGTGATGTGCTAGTAGTATTTAAATAAAAAAAAAGTTTCAACCATGAAGTGCTATTTTGATGCAATGTTTCTTTTTGTGTGGTTATATTTACTGATATGAAGGTTGTTTAATAGGTCCCAAGACTGTGAAACTTTTCTCAAACAGGGAACATATGGGATTTAGGTAATGTTTAACAGACAATTATCTTTTATTATTTTAATTGTTATGGAAAGGTAATGATGTCTTATGTTGTATTTCACGATTTTGTAATGACAGTAATGTCAATGACTTCCCTGCAAGTGACTCAGCTGTCTTAACCCCAGAAAATCTCCAGGTAGCATTTCATGTTCACTTCAGCTTCTAATGCTAGTCTGCTGTTGTTTGAAAGAACTTTTTCTTGGGACAAAATAATTGGCACACAATTTATGTATATCTATTCTTGTGTAGGGAAAACCAGTTGTCTTAAAGTTTGTCAAGTTTCAGAATGTTCGTAGGTAAGCTCCGTGCTTATACGTTAATAAAATACCTTCCTAGTTCTTATCATGATATTTTATTAAAGTGTCAGTTGGTCTCACTTAATTATTTGAATCAGCTTGACAATATTTATTGAGGACAATCAGGCGGGTTCTGATGTTACAAAAGTTCAAAAGATTGCCCTTTTTGGAACAACGTAAGTTTCTTCAATCTTTGAATTGCATTCCCAATTTTTCTGTCTTTGGTTCATATCATATTTTGCCCTTGTTCTGTTGCTGAAATTAGGGTATGGCCACTGAAGTAATCTTTGTCTTCAGTTTGAAATCATATATTTTATTGTTGTTTTATATTCATATCTTGTCAATGTCTTTCAAATTGTTTTAAGGTACTATATGGTGAATCAATGTAACTTATTCTTTGGTCAGTCAGTTATTTGGTATGGTACTGATAGCAATATGAAACCAAATATTTCTCTCTCTCTCTCTCTCTCTCTCTCTCTCTCTCTCTATATATATATATATATATATATATATAATATTTTTGTTTTCTTTTAAATGTAGATCTTAACACTGTCAACTACATACCAATTGTTATTACTACTGACCAGCCACACGTTTGATGATTCAGCTGTGAAAATGATTATGCCACAGAAATTGTTTGGCAGTACCTTTCACAAACAATACACCAAATACATCACCCGTGTTAGAGCACACCTAATTCTAGATGCAATGCTTTGTAAATTTCAAGATTGCACTTCATTTTAGATTCAGTGTCAAACCTTTGTCAAAAGGCTTGATATTCTTAATGAAATGGCTTTATGCGTTCCAGATATTTCTCATGCATTCTTTACATTTGGCAAATAGATATTTATACTTTTGTTTTGTTTTCAATTGCAGTTTCAACATTTTAGGCAGGATTTTTTAGATGCAGCTAATCGTTTTTTTGTTAAGAACAAAATCATGCTATTTATAGAATATCCTATCATTTAATGGATTCATCAGCTTTCGCCATATCTCAGTATACATATATTTAAGGAATTGATAAAATAGAAGGATGCTAGTTCATTGTATTACAAGTTTATTGATGGTTTGGTTTATGATACAGGGTTGAAACAACGGACATGAAGGGCTTGAAGAAGATTGAAGACGGCCACTGACACTGAAAAGAACGAACGCAAAAAGAAATGAATGAATTAGTGAGAAACTTGTATGGGTTGTGGCTTGGAAGCATTGTTTAGCTTTCTCATTTGGTTTTTCTAAACTTAAATCGATTCTGAAGGATAAATCAGTTTGATGCATGAAGAAAAGTTACATGGCTTGACCCATATTTTTCATTTTTCATTTTTTGGGCAAATTTTACATTCAGTTTCTGCTTTGTTCTTTATTTTATAAAGTTTGATTAGAGTGAAACAGTAAACCACAGGAACTCAAAAGGGTTACAATATGAATTTGGTGAAAACTTTGAAGGGTGGATTGCTTGACAAATTTGTCAAGTTAACTGTTGGGGAAAAAGAGACTGTGAAGTTGGTAGCATTACAATCAGTGGAGAAAGTTCATCAATGTTTCAAAGAAATTAAGCCACACGCAATGGCCATCGTGGATTGACCATTCCAGAGGGTAAATGCTTCATAATGGAGTCACCGTTTGTCATTGATCTAAACTAAAGACTACTCCATATCAGTGTTTTAAAACTTGTCTNTTTGTCAAAAGGCTTGATATTCTTGATGAAATGGCTTTATGCGTTCCAGATATTTCTCATGCATTCTTTACATTTGGCAAATAGATATTTATACTTTTGTTTTGTTTTCGATTGCAGTTTCAACATTTTAGGCAGGATTTTTTAGATGCAGCTAATCGTTTATTTGTTAAGAACAAAATCATGCTATTTATAGAATATCCTATCATTTAATGGATTCATCAGCTTTCGCCATATCTCAGTATACATATATTTAAGGAATTGATAAAATAGAAGGATGCTAGTTAATTGTATTACAAGTTTATTGATGGTTTGGTTTATGATACAGGGTTGAAACAACGGACATGAAGGGCTTGAAGAAGATCGAAGACGGCCACTGACACTGAGAAGAACGAACGCAAAAAGAAATGAATGAATTAGTGAGAAACTTGTATGGGTTGTGGCTTGGAAGCATTGTTTAGCTTTCTCATTTGCTTTTTCTAAACTTAAATCGATTCTGAAGGATAAATCAGTTTGATGCATGAAGAAAAGTTACATGGCTTGACCCATATTTTTCATTTTTCATTTTTTGGGCAAATTTTACATTCAGTTTCTGCTTTGTTCTTTATTTTATAAAGTTTGATTAGAGTGAAACAGTAAACCACAGGAACTCAAAAGGGTTACAATATGAATTTGGTGAAAACTTTGAAGGGTGGATTGCTTGACAAATTTGTCAAGTTAACTGTTGGGGAAAAAGAGACTGTGAAGTTGGTAGCATTACAATCAGTGGAGAAAGTTCATCAATGTTTCAAAGAAATTAAGCCACACGCAATGGCCATCGTGGATTGACCATTCCAGAGGGTAAATGCTTCATAATGGAGTCACCGTTTGTCATTGATCTAAACTAAAGACTACTCCATATCAGTGTTTTAAAACTTGTCTCAGCCCGGTTGGTTCAATTGGTTCTTCTGAGACTTAGGGTCTTCATCGGATTGGATTACAAATTTTCTTATTCATTTAAAACTTTAGAAATTAAGACATTAATATGTGAACAATTGAAGGCTGGAATGTTAAGACTTTTGAAGAGGAATGACCAGTGAGTGTAATAGTGGTGATAATAACAATTTCCAGTGGGTGAATCAAGTAGAAATTGCAAAACTATGTTGCCAAAAAAGCCCATTGTTGTCGACAATTGGGGAGACAAGCTGGGGAGGATGGATTTTGATTAAGAGGTTAAGGGGAGTGTTTTTGTGATGATTGGGAGTGCTGTCATCACCGTAAACAGACCCAATTTATCAACATTGAAAGTAGTGTTTTTGCAAGATTTCAAACTTATGGGACTTACATAAAAATTTTAAGGGTATTTTTGTTAGATTTCAAGTTCAAACACCGATTTCACCAGATAAATCAATACCTGGCCACTTTGCCGGATTTCACCCCCAGTTGGGTTTTAAAACACTGCTCCATATCCAAAATAGTTAAACATATGTATACCCATTTCCCGAAAGAATTGTGAATTGGTACAACATACAACAACTAAAGTTTAAATATAGAATATATGAAACACCAGTTATTTCCGTATAATTTCTTTGTACTGGCAAGTGGCAACCCGCTGGGAAAGAAATCTTAGAAGAGGATATCACCCACAACCAAGAAGCCAGATTCATGGATTAGGCTCAGTAAATTAAGATACTGATGAAATAACATATGAAAAGGGTTAAATTAAATCCATGTGACGCCTCAAGTTTCACTTTAGCTGGTGATTTACATATACATGTTAACTGCTGCTTGCATACAGATCAATGCTACCTATTTGAAATCGAGGATTTGACGTGTCTCGAACTGCTAGAAACCTAAACCTGTCAGTAGAGACAATCTTAAGGTTCAAGAACTCGGATAGATGTGTATATGAAAGGAATCTTAAGAAAATAATTTACCTGAAAGCATTTGATAGAAAACCAGTTGATTTAATCTTAAATGTTTTACGCTGGAAACGATTTTCAAACATCTGAGAAGTTTGTTTATCCAGAAGACGCCAGCTAGATCCCCCATCACCACTTGCCTGAAGAACCCTGAAAGGAAGGAATCAAAGCATCAGGGGCAAGACAATAATTCTTAAAACTAGAGTTGACCCTTTGTGAAAATCAAGTTCGGAATATCATTTCATAAATAAATTTATGGGAAACCAACTTCAAGCATTATAAGGGAAATTTTGGCCACTCAATTACAAGAATGTGCGAGCATTAGAATATAAGATTGAAGTGAAAGGGTTTTAAAGGCATAAAGTAATTATTGTTTTGTCATATACACTTTGGAATTGAAGATATTAGATAAACCAACATTGCGCTTGTGACAGATAGTGTAAAATGAACCTGCAGCTAAACATTCATTCATGGAAAGAGAGATGGTCCTGCAAACAATCTTATATTATGGACTCGTAAAGATATTGTGATTTGTTGACAGATAGTCGTTTATTTCAAAATAAACCAGGCAGTTTAAAATCAAATTAGCAAAAATACTGACCACAGGTAAGGACATCAGGACGTGGGGTCCTTTTTAACGAGAGGTAGAACACAAGAAAATCAAATCACTGAACAATGATAGTAAAAATATCTCGTAAGCTTGCATATGAAAGTTAAATTAAAAAAAATTCAAGGTTTTACATTCTTAAAATCATACCAATTCATTGGATCCCTCTCTGGAACATCATTGGCCGACATCAACTCATATGCCACAAGTTCGAGCTTCTGGTTGTCTGCTAGTTTATATATTATCCAACAACCTACATGATGAAATTCAGTTACAAAAGAACATAACTAAAATTTAGTCACAAGCAAGGTTCAAAAAATTGTGCAACCAACATATAAATGAAAGGGTGTTTTCTTTTGGAGTGCATGTGTCTACAGTCATGCCAATGGTATTATTATATTTTGATTTATTATTTTTCGCAGGTTAAGAAAAGAGAGAAACAGGCCAATGCAATTACAAGAGGATGAAAAGAATGGTATGTCAAAAAATCGAAGGCAGAAGTTTTCTGATATAGAATTCCATCTGCACATAGTTGTTTTTACAGGGTTTATTCACATGAATCACATTTTACTACAATAAATTTAAGGAAAAATACAACTAGAAGCAGAAATATTTACCGCTTTCAAACACAAAATCTTAGCCTTTTTGACTCTAGTAAAATATTCATGGGTTTCCAACTGTCAAGTAATGGAAGGGATTATACTGAACCATCTAGAATTTTCTTTTATTATTGGCTTTTTTAATATATCATCTTTGAGCGCTCTAACAATTGTACCAGAAAGCATTTCAGAAAAATCAAAACCAAAATTAAACTTAAGGCAATATTATCAATTAAGTAAAACGCCTAGCATATATCTGAGAGTTCCAGTCTAAAGACTAGAAATACTGCTTGAATCAATTGATCACTTTCAGCTTGATTTGGCTTATATAAAGGCAACAAAGGACAAGATACTTATTTGGTTTGCAATACCTTTAGCACCATTTGGTTCTTCCCATTTAGATGACCGAGTTCCATCAAAAGCTGATATGGCCTGACGATTTCATTGAAGTGAACATTTATGAAGGAAAACTTGGGAGGCACAAACTCTAAAGCTCTTAAATACGAACTAATAAAATAGACAAGTCAAATACTACTTACAATCCCAAAAGGAATCTCCTCTCCGCTTGCTAAGACTGAACCAGAATGAATTCGGTTTAACTTCAAAAGTGGCAGAGAAAGAGAATCTCTATTTAAGTTATTGCAACTGTTAAGATCATGGATCATATCATCCAAAGCATCCAACACAACAGATAGTGATAAAGAGGTTTTAACAGGGTCACCAGCCAAGCCTATGTCAAGCCTTCCATCAGCATCCAACTTACACTTCAAAAAAAGAGCTTCAAATAACTGCCCAAGAGAGGGCACCAACTGACGCAGAACCTTCAGTCCATCATTACAATTGGTATTCAAGGAAACTCTCCTTGTTTTATAGGGTGCCTTCCTAAGATCCACCAGTATTCCTTTAAAACTCGTGAGTACTTCGATTGCTCTTGATTTAGAAATATCATTCTCAACAATTTGAGAAAGGACAGGAGAAAAAGCATTATAAATTATTGTCACATGCTCATCTATGCACACTCGAACTGGGCAAGAAGAGCAACTCAAAGAGCAATTGTCATCAGCACCAATCTCTGATCTTAAAATGCGCCATTCCTTGTTCCCACTTTGTCTTCCAGGTAAAGAGACAGAACTATCATCTGCAGAATGCAAAAATCTTTCAAGTGCTTCCATTTCAGATTTGTCACGGTCTTCAAGAGCACAAAGAACCTCAGATGCAAAGTTTCTTCTACATTCTCGTGTCAACTTAGTAAGAACAGAAGACACTGTTTCCTCTCTGGCAATATTCCGTCGAGAAAGAACCTAATTGTTTTTCAAAGAATTTTTTCTCTCAAAATCACATCATGAATTTGCAAAAGGAAAAGAAAGAAAGCAAACTGTCATAAAAAAATCGGTTAGCAAATATTACAACTACTTCTATAAGTACCTCATGCCATTTCCTGGTGTAACGTTTAGTGACATCATAAACTCCATCTTTTGCAATAGCAATGACATAATTCAATTTCTTGTCCCACCTACAAAAACGACATTTATGATGTTGATAAGGAGCATAACACGTTATTCAAGAACAGGATGCAGGGTGACAGAGTTGATTCATAAAGTATAATATTTTTCGCAAGGGATTCCCTATATATAATTAAAGCAGGAAATTGGAAGTACCCCTTTTCATATAACAATGGCCTGTCATATATTCCTTCGCAAGGATCAAGATGCATCCATCTGTTGAAGTAATAGATGTCAAAAAATCATTTAACTCTGTATTTTAGCTAATCCTAGTCACTGTTGGATGTACTCAAGAAAATACAAAACAGAAATGTTATATATGAAGTCTACCTTCCCAAAGACTGCGAGAAGCACTCTGTCCAGACATGATCTGTAAAATCCAGGATCTGTAAATAAAACTATAGTTAGTAACTAGTGACATAATTTTCTCACAAGCTTCAAGTTGTTCCACATATAAATGAATACTAAGTTTCTTATGACACCGACATAGTACCAAATAACAGAGCAATATGTTTGTGCCAAAAAGCTGCAATTTCTTAAGTTTACATTCCTCAAACAAATCAGTTTAGTTCATGGCTCTTAGAAGAAGTCATAACATTGAAATATCTCTAAAACTTCTGTAAATGCAACATGCAGGTGTGCAAGAGAGCCAATTTAGTCTAATGACTACATAAAAGGACACAGGGCCATGGCTGAACCATACAGTGTTTCGTTTTTCTAAGGGGGGTGATTAAAGTTTTTACATGCTCCAAGATTCTTAATATTATATTAATGTGGTAGATGTAGACAGAATATATTGAGATATATGACAAATAATAAGAAATATCATCCTCTACATTAGTTGACAACACAAAGCAGAGTACAAATTCATCAGGGAGCTGTATCTCAAAACAATTACCATATCCATATGATGTGTCACTAGAGTCTGTTAATTCCCATTCATGAAACATGTACTAACTATAAAGAGTCTGCTAAATTCCCATTTGCCACTCAAAGCTACAAAAAGAAGGCTATACTATGTATCATGAGAAAAATTCTTCTTGTTCCAAAAAACTAGTGGTCTTATTCCAATTAGACAATTAATTCTCCTGAAGAAAGAGCAATTAATTTTGTGAAGCGCTGAGTTAAGAAGCCTAATTTCCAAATTGAATTAACAACTAAAGAATTGCTAACCAGGCGACATTCATAGCCAAAAGCTCGGCAATAAAGTGTAAAGCAATTGGCCCACTCCCCACAACGCCCCTTTCTTGTTTCTACAAGCTGCATATATGAAATAGAGAAAGACGATTAAGCACTTTATGAAATCTATAATTTGCAATTTGGCCAAGAAATTTAAATACCTTTAGAGGGTCATTATACCGCGGAAAACGAGTAATCCTTGAGCAAAACTTGCAGCTGGAGCACATAAAAATGATCAACACATCAAATGCAATGAAGGTACTAACAAATATGTCAAGATGGAGAGAGAAAAATGCAAAAGCAAAATAGTGGCAAGGAAAACTTAAAAAAAGAAAAAAAATTAAGGACTAATTGACCCATGCAGTGCTTTTCTAGAGATGCATTTTGTATTTCCTGTTACATTATCAAAGACTATGTTGCGGATTATGAAAGAAATAAAGGAATTAGAATATAAAAAGGGATGTTGCTATCTAAAATGGGATAGCCTTCACAACTGGATTGCAACATGAAAAGCCTCAATGCAACACAAATCATCAATCTTGTCAAAACAAGACATTCTAGGAAATAAAGGCAAGTGACAAGTTTTTTAATTGAAATCTTCTTCGGATCATAAACGAAGGAAATTAAGGAAAATCCAGCCAATAAAAAAGCTCTAACGAGCAACACAAACAACATTTGATTTTAAAATTCCAGATATGAAAAAGCAATAATGACTTAACTGTTTTACCAATTTTATTCACATATTCTAACCGACTGAAAAATAACATATCTAATATAGCATTCTTGTATTAGATTGTTCATCACAATAATGCCATGATAAAAAAAGAAATTTAAAGAAAGCAGCTGTCAAAATAGAAAAAACTGGACCAAGACATCATTAGCAGATATTATGTGCTATGAGGGTGAAGTAGATGCGATTGCAGATCAGATAAAACAGGGGAAGCCAATATTTATAGAAAGATATAGATCTTTTCATGAGAGATTGCCAAACATACAATGAAAAATTATGAATCTAGAATATGTATGAATTCAAACTCAAACAAAAAGATAATAAATTAAGAGTAAAAGTATTCTCTACACTGACCTATAGAGTTCAACACGATGTGCTCCATATTGGATCTCTGCAGGAAGTGCAGCACCCATACCTATAGCTGTAGTTTCATTGCCACAACCATCACAGGGAGGTGCATCGACCCACCTAGAGTATTAGAATAATAAAATACACAGGCAAAATCCATCTTGTCAGTAATGGATGGTAAAAAAGAACATGAATTGTAGACTACTCAGAATTACAAAACAAACTTGGCGGCGCCAAGTTAAATGACAACTAAAATTGGCATCAACACATATCATGCAGCTAGGTCCAACCAGAAACCCAAAATTGGAATATAGGGTAAGTTCAACTCCTAATCACGGAGGAGGGCAACAATGAATTCTTGAAGAAAACATTGTAAAAATGTAGAAAAAGAGAAATTAAGGAAAATGGTAGTGTAGATTGAGGAAATGGAAAGACTAAAACGCGTATATGCAGCTTTTACTTAACAATAAATAATAAATACCTTTCATTTATAAAACATCAACTTAGACTAGCAATCATCCACTCCTCAAAAGTACCAAAAGTTAAAATACTATCCATGTGACCTAGAAGTTAAATTTGCAATCAGAAAAACACAATGTGATAATGACAATATAAAACACCATCACTATCACATACACCTACATAACTTGTTGGTCAAAGGATTTTAAACTTTAATTGGCCTTAGCCTGATGACCCAAAGCTGAAAATATTTACAAGAGACAAGAAATATAAAAAGACAGGATTTAACATTACTAAGTGAAATTTTCCAGTAAGGCATTGCAAATGACTGATTTGTACATGTAGGGAGGTGTAATATTGGTATGGAATGTAGGTTTTCCTTCTGTGGATCTTTAATACTACAACAAGTGGTATTATTAGACTTATTCAAATTATTTGAACTAGGAGGTTTCAAATATGGCTTTGCTTCCTGAGTTCCCAAAACAAATGCAAGAAAAAAAGGTAATAAAAAGGAAACTCTCTTGAAAACTTCCCATATATATATATATATATATATAAGCTGTTAATTATAATTTTTTTCTACTTACCATGTAAAGAAAACACAAAATAAGACCAGCTTAAGTTATAAAAAGCACCTGAAGGATTGTTTGAACCAGAAAAGCAGCTGTAGCAGGAAAGCATGACGTTGTTCAATTATTGATGGTTCAAAGTTCCCCTCCTAAAACATATATATCAAAATTATTAATTACGATGATATCTTCGCAGGATATATTATAGAGACAGAATGATCCATGTACATAGCTAAATGTTAGTTCAATCTAAGCAACAGTGGACTTGTATTATCTTTAATAATGTCGTCACAGAATTTATTTAACAAATATATGAAACTATGACAGAAAGTTAATAATAAATTTCAGTTAAAAGAGTAACTTTTAATAAACATTGGAATTATTTACCAGCATTAACAGATGGTCATAACACAGAGCAAACTAATATCTTAAATCAACCTACCTAAACAATATTTTCAGAAAATAAACAACCAAAAGCCGAAACTCTTTCTCTGACTAAACCAGCTCACCGGTGAAGCAAAAATAAACCATATCAACTTCCATATCTTCCTGAGCAAACTACAGAACCTTGAGAACCTTTCTATACCAATCATATCAAGCAAATATGGCTCTGAGATCTTCTACAAACATCACATTGAAACAATTCAACACACATACATACATAACAAATAATTACAGCTCCATAATCTTTCTGAACCATCTCTCTCCACATACTTGATAAAATTTCATAGCTTCTACACTCTTTTAAAAGAAAAAAAAAAAAAAAAAAGAGAGATAAGTAAAACAAGATGAACTTTTGCAATCATTTCCATTTGCTACAGGAATACTATTTGTCAAGCACTTCATTTAATGTGAATGAACTGTTTAGAACTTTCAGAGGTAGTTATATTTTTACATGAATGAGCAGTTTAAAACTTTCAAATGTAGTTATAAGTAAGCAACACTACGCATCTACAAAGCATTGTCACATACATTAATTCCATCACAATTTCTGTGAAAAACCATGATCCAACAGATTAGTTCCCATTTGTAGGAGACTGCATAGTTTTACCTTTGCCAAAGCAACAAATGATTTTTCCTCAAGCTCTTCTACTGGAACAATCTTTCTAGCCGCGTCTTGCCGTATTGGGTCCTCATACTACAAAAACAATCAATCAATTTGCCAATGATTCACATCAGAACAATAACCCTTAAGCTCAGTCACTACATAGAGAAAAGAAAATCAAAAACGAAAACAAAATTTAAAGGTTCTTCTTTGATATTAAACCAAGCCAAGTAGGGTTATTTCTTTTCCATATAAAATAAAAACCATTTATTAGAAATTTGAAGTTGCAAAAAGGAAAAAAGAATAAAGTCCTTACAATTTTAATTGATGCCCTCAAAGCAAGGTCAACATTACAAACTTTTAATTGTCTTCACTTTAAAATCTTTGTAACATCAAAATATTAGAAACCAACTTGTACATTGTTACATTCCAAAATTTCATGTTATAACTCATCTAAAACAAGTCTTATACTCAAGAGAGTTGGTAAGTTGCAGGGGGTTAATGTTGCCCCATTCCACCCCGCCAGTCCCAGCTGAACCATTGGAGAGATCCAATGGTCCAAATTCCAGGTTGTAACTCATAATATTACAAGTATTATACCGAAGGGAGTTGTTATGTTGCTGGGGTACCAAAGCTGGACCATTGAATCTCTCCAACGGTCCTTGACTTTTAGACGATTGGAACAATGGATTTATCCGGCACTATAGTAAAACCCTATGATAATATTACAAGTATGATGTACATATATAAAGAAGTCGTAATATATCAGAATTACCATGAGAACTTGAGTAATATAAGGCCGTAACCTATTTTCGAAATCCCCACCATCATCATCCACAACATACTGTTGTAACAAAAGAGCTTCCTCCTCAGCCTAAAACACCAAAACAAACAAAACATTTTCCCAAAAACTCACAAAAAAAAAAAAAAAAAGCTTTCGAAAATCAAAACTGAAACAGATAACAACTCAAGGCAATCAAACTGATAAAACAAATCAAAACCTGCAACATTCGCGCCAATTCCTCATCGGACTTCAGCAATTCTTCCTGCTCTTTAGCACTGTTACTAACCAGTTCCTCTTCAATCGACACTAACTTGAGATCATCACAAATTGAGAGAAGATCAGAGTCGTCTGACACAGGCCGTTGATGGTCATCATCACTAACAATCTGATAAAAAAAAATGAATCGTCTGATCATCCAATCAACACACATTAACCACATTAACATAGAGAGAAAACCGGCAGAGAAAGGAAAATTGAGACCTTGAGCTGGTCGGGAGGGATAGAAGTGAGAGAGAATAGCTGGAATTTGAAAACCTGTAAGAAAAAGGATAATTTAGAGAGGAATTGAAAGAATTTAGAGGTAGAGGGAGAGGGAGAGGGAGAGAAAGAGACTTCGACGCCGTCATCTGTGTCGTAGTCGACGTCGAAGGAGGACTCGTGGTGGCGAACGGAGAATTTCCGAGCAACCATTTTTGTCGGAATGTGTGACTTGACGTCGTCTGAGCGATTTTCTATAAGAGAGATAAATCTGGTCAAGAATATGTGTAGTTTACTTTACTTGTTTAAAAATTTCAGAATATGATTATCCAATTTTCACATAGAAGGACAAAAATATCCTCAAAATGTTTCCCCCGGGTAAAATTTTAGGATAATACTAACCTCGTCGAGACTCTCATTAACACCTCTCACTAATCTCACTAATCGCACTCACTAATCTCACTAATCACACGTGATAATCTGTAATTGACTTGATCGGATAGACCCATTATTAGACAAGTAGAATCTATACAAACTAATCAATTACGAACTGACATATGACGTTTGTAAGAGAAATTTAGTAAGAAGTATTTGTGAGTGTAGTGTTACTCAAAATTTTAATATAAGAGTAATATCGACTCAACGAATGCAAAGTTGTTTGAGTGTGTCTGGCGCCCTTAATGATGTTATTAAAAATTTAAGATATAATTAAATTCTTTATTAATTATATATTATTTAGAAGAGTAAACGCACTTTTTCCTATCCAAATAATAATTTAACAACACTTTTTCATCTATGTACTTTTAAAATACTATTTAATTACTTAAATTTATATTTCATTTCTGATTTTAGCATCATTGTGACCCCAAATCATCACGATTCTCTTCCTCAATCATCATTCACTAAAAGTACTAAAACCCCACTATTACCGACCCTGCTAATCGCTGACAATCGAGTGATTAGACTTTGCAAAACTACTCTTTCCAAGTCAAATTTCTATTAATTCCAATCATCAAAATCCAACTTTCTATTACCAAGAGACTCAACGGCCTCCTCTCTTCAAAAACCTCAATAAATTGAACCAAGTTGGTTCTCTTTTCACCATCAAAATGTAAATATAGGTATTAAAGTGATATTTTAAATGTCTGTTTACTCTTTGTTCATCATCAAAATATAAATATAGGTATTAAAATGATATTTTAAATGTATATGAGTAAAAAAGTGTCATTAAACTATTATTTGGGTGAGAAAAAGTTGTTAACACCATTTAAAATGTTTATTATTGGTGGAAAACAAAATTATAAGGCCGAGGCCCAAGGTGAAAGAATGAAGTGAAGCCCAATAAGTCATATTAAAGGCAGCCCATAAGTAAAGTGGACCGAGAGAAAAGTCAAAGAACCCAAATTCACATATGATTGTAAGCTGCAACCTACAACTTACTACCACCTTATTTAAGAATGGGAAGGCGGCGAGAAAAAATGGAAAATGGGGACACCTTCCATCAACTTCCTATTATCCAAGACAAGCTCCACTGCTTAAAGAGACAGGTAACCACTCATTAAGTCATTATCATTCTATGCTCCACTGAACTTATTGAATCAGTACTATTTTATGCCAAACACTGAACACATAACCTAAATCAACGCCTGAATTTAAAAACCAACTAGAATAACTCCGCACGGACCGCATGCTTACATGCCATTATTATTAATATCATTTTTTATGCTTGGAGGTGTCCGCGTATCTCAATTAATCATGCTGGACCTTAGAACTATTGATCGGGTAAGAGTTTCAGTGATGGTTATCCCTATTAGCAACGGAAGAGAGATTCGAATCTAGGACCTCTTGAGTAATACACCCAACAATCCATATCGAACCACTCGACTTCTAAGAGGTAGTTCTCACTTGCCACCATTAAAATATGAGTAAATGACTTTTCCCCACCCAAATAATGGTTTAATGACACTTTCTTACTTACAGACTTTTAAAATATCATTTTACTACTCAAATTTATATTATGTTTTTGACACCCGCATTTGTTGCGACCTTACACCACCAACATTCTCTTCCTCAATCATCATTCACCAAAACACCTCAAACCTTACTCCCGCTAATCATCGACAATCGACCGATTAGGGTTTATACAATCGTCCCTCCCAAGCAATGGCAGATTCTATTAATGACTAGTGGTGACTTCAGTCCCCACTCAACTTTTAAAAAAGTTCATATTTTATATTTATTTAAATTTTACACTTATATAATTATGAGATTTTGGGAACAGAACAACCCCCATGGCAAGTTTGGATTTTGTTTTTGTAAAACCCTATTTTTAATCCTAATGTATATATATTTCGTGTTTTTTGTAATTTTTACTTTTATTCAAGGGATCTGTTAGGCTTTAAAAGTTTTATTAGCAGTGAAAATGAAAGGAATAAGAGCTGTTGGGTTTGCATTTAATTGAGGGGAGAAATCTGGGCATTTTTATATAAGAAAGCTAATGTGACGAGGTCATGGTGAGAATAAGAGAATATTGGGGTAGTTTCATAATTCAAATAAGTTGTTTTATATATAAACTAGGTTGTTCGCCAAAAATGAAGAAGAAGAGAGAAAAACCCATAAAGAAAAAAGGAAGCAGAAGCGAAGGAAAAGGAAAAAGAGAAGAGAGGGAAGAATGGGTTTGGTCAGTTTTATCCATTTGATTTTTCTCCACTTGAGTTGATGGTACTTGAGAACTAGGCTGAGATTTATGTTATTGACATACGTTTTTGTGATGAATTTGTTGAATTACAAGGAATTAGTGATTTTGCTAGGAATTTAGTTCAGTTAAAAAAAAAAGCATTTTGCATATGTTGGTGTATAAGCTTGTGAAAGTTGCATTGATTTTACCAGTTGCGACTGCGACTGTTGAAAGGGCTTTTTCTATAATGAATTTTATGAAAAGTCGGTTATGCAATTAAATGAGAGATCAATAGATGAATGATTACTTGGTCACTTATATTGAGAAAGACGTATTTGATACAATTGATAATGAGATGATTATCCAACGTTTTTAGAATATGAAAACTCGTCAAGGACAATTGTAGAAAAATTGTTTTATTTTCACAAAAATTGTGTTTTTTGAAGATATTTATTTGTATTTTATAATTTTTTATTGAAGCTCATCATAATGAAAAAAAAAGTGTGGCTATGATTGATTTTTTTTTTTTTTTTTGGGTTTATATTTTCCCCCCATATAGTGAAATTCCTGAATCCGTCACTACTCCTAAGTCAAATTCTTATCAATTTCAACTACCAAAATCTAACATTTCACCATCAAAAGACTCATCGGCCTCCTCTCTTCAACAACCCCAACAATTTGGACCATGAATTTTGTGAAAAATCGATTATGCAATCGAATGGGAGATCAATGGATGAATGATTACTTGGTCACCTATATTGAGAAAGATGTATTTGATACAATTGACAATGAAATGATTATCCAACGTTTTTAGAATATGAAAACTCGTCAAGGACAATTATAAAAAAATTGTTTTATATTTACAAAAATTGTGTTTTTTGAAGATATTTATTTGTATTTTATAATTTTTTATTAAAGCTCATCGTAATTAAAAAAAAGTGTAGTTATGATTGTTTTTTTTTTTTTTTTTTGGGTTTATATTTTGCCCCATAGAGTGAAATTTCTGAATTTGTCACTGCTTTCAAATCAAATTCCGATCAATCTCAACCACCAAAATTTAACCTTTCACTACGAAAAAACTCATCAGCCTCCTCTCTTCAATAACCCTAACAATCTCGATTAAATTTACTTTTTATTCGTCACGAAAATATAAATTTAACTAATAAAGTGATATTTTAAAAATTTATTAGTGGAATCGTACCGTTAAATCATTATTTAGATGTGAAAAAATCGTTAACTCATTAAAATATAGGTAATGATATAATTTCTTTTAATTTATCTGTAATTTCAAATCATTTAAGAAATTTGTACAACAAATATGACTCTTCTAATATAATAACACCACAGGACCCCACTTTGAAGTAATCTCATCTTCTACATGCAGCGTAGCGTGCATAAAGCCAACCCGCCATTAATGAACCTCAACAAACTTCACTGCACCCTCTTTAATTCCCGGCTGCCACCCACCACCTCACCACTATATAATTCATTCGCGCCATCTTCTTCTACTTCTATTCTAAATTCTATCTCTCTGTCAGAAATGGAGGACGGAAGGAGTCGGGTCAACGTTCACTCCATTTTAACGTCAGTGTCCAGCAGGCCGTTCGGGGCGGTCAAGACTTTCCCGTTAACCCAATTGGGCCACGCCATGGGTCGCCACACGATCCATCTCATCTTCTACTATGAGAAAAGCCCACTTGGGTCGTTTGACGTGGACCCCATGAGGGAGTCTTTATCGGAGGTTTTGTCTCTCTACCCGCTTGCTACGGGTCGATTGACCCGAGATGGGGCCGGTAATTGGGAGGTTAAGTGTAATGATGCGGGTGTTCGGGTTTTAAGGGCTAGAGTTGGTGTCACGCTTGATGAATGGCTGAGATCTGCTAATGGGTCTGAAGAAAGAGATCTAACGGTGTGGGAGGACATGCCTGAGTCTCCTAGTACGTGGTCCCCTTTCCGGGTTCAGGTAATGCATTTCTAGTTGGACCGGGTTTGATTTTCTTTGTTGCAAATAGTTTATAAGGGTTTGCTTAGGAGGATTTTTTCACTGGTTTGGAGCGGTTTTTAATTAAACTGGTTTTGAAGTGTTATAAAACCATTATTTATCAGATTTTTTATGCACTGATTTTGATTGGCTCAAAAACCCCCCAAAACCAGTGCAGTGTATTTTTGAGGAGTTTATAAAACATCCCAAATTAGAGTGTTTTGATTGGTTTTAAAATTTTATTCCACAAATACCTTACCAACTACAAAACTATCCCAATTATATTAAAAAAATTAACCATATCATTCGCGTCTCCAATCATATTAAATATAAAATAATTTTAAACAAACATAAAAAAAAAAAAAAATATTAAAATCTCATTTATAGATGCTTTCTTGAAGATGTAAAACTATAATTTTTCAATCATTCTAAATGCTGTAAAGAACGGCGAAGAAGAATAAGGAGACTTTATTACATTTGAAGTTATAAAATACTAATAAGTAGAAAACAAATAAAAAACCTTTACCTTGTAATTGAAAAAACAAAATTCCCAAGTATTGATTGAAGTTGGTGTAAATTTTATGGGCATATATGTAAATTTATCATTTAAAAAAACTATCAAAACCGCTTGAAAATAAACTCCTAAGCACAGGTTGGGTGTTTTAAAAACCGCAATTAAAAACCCCTCAAAACCGTTACGGTGGTTTACCCTTATAGTAACTACCATGAAACTCTCAAGCGGATACTAAGATTCTTGTTTACAATAAGAATAAAGTCATCCATTCATTATGTGTTATATCAATTATTATGAGAGTAATGTTACGTTTAAAACTTATTCTTATAAATTTTTCATATAATCCCGACGTGACAGTTGAGTTGACAATGTCACGTCAGCCTTCATCACACCAAACACTAAAATAATTTTGACTAAACAAAAAAAAAGGGTCATTCCTTCCTTACGAAGGAATGACCGTTTCTCATGGAAGGAATAATCGTTCTTTAATAAGGAATAATTGTTTCTTATGACAATTGTCTGTTTCTAGTAGTACCTTGGGTGTGGTAAGAGTTCACGTAACATTGCCAATTTGCTACCACATTAGACTTATAAGAGAAGGTTGTGAGATTGAGTTATAAACGTAATATTTTTCTTATTATTATTGTAAAATCAATTTGCAGATTAATGATTTTGAAGGAGGAGGTTTAGCCATTGGAGTTAGCTGCACCCACATGCATGCAGACTCAACCAGCCTTGCTCTACTCCTCAAAGCATGGTCCGAGGCCAACCGCCGTCAACCCATTGCCTACCTGCCGTCCTTCCACCCACCTACACCTCAACCTCCGTCTACAAACATTGAAACCAAATCAACCAATTACTTGGCTGCAAAATCACAGGCACATACCCCACCAGTGAAAATGGCCACAGCCACTTTCAAGTTTTCTGATTCCATCATCAAGCAGTGCATATCAAGAATCCATGACAAATGCCCTCATGCCAACCCATTTGATCTGCTAGCAGCATTGTTTTCGACGCGGATTCTGCACTTAAAGGGTTCTAAAAATGATCGTACACACTCCCTGTCTGTCTGTGTAGACTTTAGAAGGCTATTGCAAGAGCCACTTCCTTATGGATATTTTGGCAATGCTTTATATTTTTCACTTCTGTCCATAAACGCGGAAGAAATAGAATGTGGCGACTTAGGACGCATGGCAGAGTTGGTGCATTGCCATGTGTCGGGGCTTAAAGAAGAAGAATTTTGGTCGGCTTTACATTGGCTTGAATCACAGAAGGAGGGAGGGAAGTATGCACCACCATTTACAATGTATGGCCCTGAACTCACCTGTGTTAGCATGGAACACATGATTGTCGGGGATCAATCTGTGATGTACTCGGCAATCTTTGACAGTGCCAGGCCTGTCCATGTATCCTGTCATGTGGGGAATGTGGAAGGTGAAGGGTTGATACTAGTGATGCCTTCGGCAGAAGGACGTGCACGAACAGTGACGGTGACGTTGCCAGAGGAAGAGATTGCCAAGTTGAGCAAGGATCAAGCTATCTTGTGCCTAGAGCCAGAAGTCCTCTTTTGTGGAAAAGTATAGACTATTTGCTTTCAGATTGTGAATAAAAGAAAAAGTTAGCTTGAGATAGATGCTTAGTCTTCTGCAATATAAATTAAGCTTCTCTGAATTTTAGCCTCAAGATGATTGGAGGTTTTTCATTCCTCATTGAAAGTGATCACATCGAGAATAGTTGTCCAAAACATTAATAAAACATGATACTAAGTGACTAGGTACATATAATTTGGATTTTTTTTCCCTCTTATTCATGAAATATTGCATCCGAAAGAAAGATAAGTAGCATCCATAAACGTTTTAAGTTCAGACCTTGCTTGCATTTGGAGGTGTGTTTGCAAATATCCATGATGCATTCTTCATGCTTTCATAAGTTCTGTCACCCGCTACCTCGTCTATGGGTACAGCATCTGAAATTTCTTTCAGATCCTCTTTCGTAAGTTTCACCAGCAGAGAGCCAATGTTATTTTCCAGGTTCTTAATCTTAGTTGTCCCTAAAATTTAATTTAAAAAGCAAATCAGCAGTAAAAATATTCAGATAGTATTCTCTTGGTCAGATAAACAACATATAATAAAGACAATTTAAGACAAAACTAAATTGTATCAAAGGCTGACAAACCCCTAAATCGAAAGACACGTTGAATAACATGGTATCCCATGATCAGTTTTATCTTTTAGGAAATTTATGCTATCAAACACACAAATAAATAAATGAAAATAAGAAAAAAAGTACAGATTTTGTGAACCTGAAATCAAGCATAAACTTATAAACTAGTAAGTTTTTATTATTTCAATACTAAATTCAGGAAGATGAGGAGTCAGCACTAACTAGAACAACTCAGCTTTCAAAGTATGTGGTCTGCCATAAGTTTTTAAGTTCCTGACAGTTAATTAACATGAAACGGGGGACCAGAAACAAGTATTTGCCCATCAAGCATAGTATCACACAGCAATTATAGTAAAACAATTTCCACATTCTGAACATGGAAGGCAAAACTATATTCATCTTATTGTGTTTTGTACACCCTTCAAAGATTAAAGGTACAAGCATGAAAGAAAGTTTATAACTTCTTCAAAAGGATGGGCAAGTTTTATACCAAGTTACCCGTCTACATTTGATCAATTGATATTACAACCCAGTTAAGCAATAATCCAACAATCTCATTATCAAAAGGCTAATCAGAAGTCCAAAAAAAGAGTTCTCTCCAATGATAATTGACATTGAAAATCACAGACCTGTTGCCTGTACCATCATATCCAGTTGTACAAAATTTAAGTTATTTGACAATTATGGAGTTACTGGGTTTGGCATAATGAACTTCCCTAAACCGAGCTAATTTTGTCAGATTCAATGAAATTTACATATGGTCCTATGTCTGAAGAACACTTCAAAGAGAGAAAAGAAGGTTTGTTAGATGAGATGTCCTGTAGTTGGCATGTGAGTGTATGTCCAGCTTTCAATGGATCTTTCCTTCGGCTAAACATATGGCCAATGAATTCTTCAATGGACCACAACCATAAACTCCATATGGACTTTCAATTGCAGCAGCATTTTAATGAATTATAAATATTAGTTTTAAAATGAATAACGGTGAAAACCTGGACCAATTTTTTCTGAACATGTTTTCAATTAGTGGCTTCAAAAATCTACACTGCATTGGCAACATTGTATTGTAATAGAACCTTGACAATATATTTTACTGTGGTTCTCCTATATTCACTGTCCACATCTACTAATTAGAAAAAGAAAGCTACTCACCAGGAATAGGTACAACATCATCCCCTTGTTCCAAGACCCATGCCAGAGCTAGTTGAGCAGGAGTGCAGTTATGCTTTACAGAAAGGTTTGCTATACGAGTATAAATGTTCTTGTTCTTTTCCAAGTTCTCTCCCTTGTAACGAGGATGTGAGGCCTTAAAAAGCAAACAACTAATTGTCATTAAGTCACATAATTTTCTGAGCAGAAAGGGAGAACTTTTGATTTGCTAATAATTCTGAAAATGGTTCTAAATATTGTCAAACAGGTTCTTTTGGTTTCACTGAAAACTCTTTAACCATTATACGGAACTTTATTTCTGAGGAGAAAAGAATTAAATTTCAGGAGTAATGACACTTTTGAAGCTAATAGCAACTCCTTGGAAAGACTTTAATAACTTTCTTTTAGAATATGCAGAACATTTAATATAAATGAAGCTGAAGTAGAGTTGTTTCCTGAGAATTTTCATGCAGCCATTTTCCTATGACACAAACCCACGGGATGAATATTGATGAAAAACATACCAATAAGCTATTTGCAGGTAAGCTTTCCACAGCAGCTCTGCCGCCAAAAAACCCACGACCAAGAGGACTGTATGGGACAATTCCGATGCCAAGCTCCCTGCATGCTTAAACGCATCTAAACTTGAGCCTCATATTTCTAAACAACATATTTGAATATACAGGATTTACAGCAGGCCCTACTGAAGACTCATCAACCACCAAACTAAACTTTTTCCATAGAAAATTAATATAAAGAAGAAAACTTTCCACAGCATATTTACTCGAGTAAAAGATTTAGGAAATTCTTATGTTCCCAAAAATTAGATACAAAAACATAAGGTTCTAAATGGGAATAGATCAATATGTTACGACACACTCTTCTTAGGTTTCTGGAAGAAGAGATACTAAGTAGGATGGTTGCAAAGCAATTTAAACAAACCTGCAAAGTGGTATTATCTCTTCCTCAATATCACGAGTCCAAAGTGAATATTCCATTTGTAAAGCTGTGATGGGATGAACTGCATGGGCCCTTCTAATTGTGTCTGGGCTGGCCTCAGATAAGCCAATGTACTTGATTTTTCCCTCTTCCACCAGCTTCTTAAGCTCACCAATCTACAATCAAGGAAAAAGAAAAGCAGTTTGTAACATATTCTACCAATTAGTTCCCACCATCATTGAAATGGAATAATGAGTCTTCAAAGTATTTCAATATTGTAATTGATGACAAAATTTCAAAAGATTGATGAGGTATAGCTGAAAGAAGATGACAAATATCACTCACAGTTTCCTCTATAGGAATTGTTGTGTCTATTCTGTGTTGATAATACAGATCAATGTATTCCACACCAAGGCGCTTCAAACTAGCCTCACAACATGAACGCACATACTCGGGGGTGCCTTTCACAATCATACCTGTAGGTGTCATTCCTGCAATGCCGCACTTTGTGGCTAGCTGAATTTTCTCTCTTGGCAGTTGCTTCAAGGCCTGAAAGTTGAACATTTTTCACTAACTTCCAAAAAGTTAACAAAGAATTTCATCTTAGAGTATCCTCAATCCTTCGAGTAAAACATATGTAAAGCACCACAACAAAGGTAATTCTCTGAGATTCTACCTTTTTTATATATTAACCAGTAGAAGCAAAAATATGTGAAAATTTGAAGCTATTATAAATGACAACCTCAATAAATTCACAATAAAAAAACTAACCTTGCCAACCATAACTTCATTAGAATGGGCTCCGTATACATCAGCAGTATCAAAGAAGGTGATCCCCTCACTGAAGGCGTCTGTAATTATTGAAATGCCATCCTCTTCGGAGAGCGGAGCATTATACATGCCGGTCAGGCCCATACACCCAAAGCCTAACTTTGAGACCTATAGTAAGACAAACAAGCCATGTACATTTTGACATCAAATGGGCATTGAAATATCTAAAATAGCTAAACTTTGTTCTAATTACATAGCATTTTAAATCGCATCACTTCGAATGATGCCACTTAAAATCAACTAGCAGATATCAATAAATAATGTCATTTGAAGTTTACTGTCAAGAAATAAGATTGTCGATGGGATATGTTAAACATATGAGGAATAGGAGCTCATTTCTCTATAAAACCCTACATCAAAACTCAATCCAAAATGTTTGATCACCAAGAATAAAAAAAGAGAGGGAAAATTCTACAATCTTTGCAAATTGACTGAAGGGAAAATTTTGTAATCTTTGCCCATTAACTGAAACGAACTCGGATTCACAGAAGCATTAACTAAAGAAATATACATTCTTGCGAGTATTCAAATACATCCACAAGTAAAATGGTTGTTGAAAGAAGTGATAGGAGAATTCATTTACCTCAAGTCCTTGGGTTCCCAGTTTGACTCTTGGAACTTGGACTTTGTTCTTGTCTTCTGCCATCTTCTAAGTTGCGGCTAGCTTTCTTCTGTTTCGGTTGATTGCTTTGGAGCTTGATGACAAGTTTGAGCTGAAGCAATGAGATGGTTTGTTAGTTGGTGAGTTTGATGGAGTGGGGAAGGTGAAGGTGGTAGGTGTGAGAAAGGTTCCTTTTGGTGGTAGTTGTGTATTCAGTACGTTGGTTGAGAATCAGAGAAAATTCATTCACACCACTAAGGTTCTAAATGATTACTTGGCGACCCACTTGTTTCTGAAACTAATACTGACACCCCGAATTTTAACTGTAGTTATCTCAAATCAAAAGGAGCAAGAATTTTTTGGTCTTTTGATATTATATAAAAGCTTAAACGAGATAAGATTAGGATTAGTCTAAAACGAACAAGAAAAAAACTTTGTTGATAACAACCACTAGATGACCCGACGATAAAAGAGTAAAATAAGGTTCTATGAGTTATTGAGTTCGATCCCCCCAAACATTAAGAGGGATGACCACTGAGACTCTTATCTGACCGACAGTTTTAGGGTCTCAGAGATTAGTTGAGGTGTATATAAGTTGACCCGGATACCCCCAGTGATTAAAAAAAACCTGAAAGTTTCAGAACCCTGGAGATTAGTTGAATTACGCATAAACTGGTCGGATAACTTTGATTAGCTAGTGATTTATTACGTATCAAAGGGCCATACAACCGCCCAAAACAGCTGATTTTTAAAAGACGCAACGATTGTATCAAATAACCGTTCTTTCTTTTGTGTTTGGAGTGGTGCTGAAATCTGGAAATCGAACTCGGATAGTGAATTTTCTTGAAATAGTTTTGCTCATAGGGACTGGTTTGGTTTAGTTTTAATTATGCTCACCCGTTTCCAATTCATATGGTTATTTTGGC